GACATACCAAAATTATTTTTGTCGTTCTATTTTGTTGTTATTATTCAGAGAACCATCTTTACATATGTAGATTAAGAAGTAGTGGTGGTAACACTACTTTACGAAAAGTTCTCCTTTTTTGGGATACAAAAAAATACAAACATTTGAGATACACTCTTCTAAGTACCTAGTAAGTGATATTGAAACGTTATTTCTTTCACTTCGTAAGATGGTACCCTGTTCACCAACTTTTAACATTAAACAGCTAGCTTTTTAAGAATAACCCATTACATCCTACATCTATTATAAGGACCTTTGAACAGTTCATTGCTTCCACTCATACTAAGTAGTGATCTCTTCAACCCTCTCTCAAGTTCCGTGGGTGTTCGCAATAAAAGACCTTATTATTTAAATGATTAAGCTTCTAATAATTGTTCTTCTTGTTGCTCTATTGTAGTAAAAGGGAAAAACACTTGAATATGAGTGGATACTGTTATTTTGTTTACCAATAACTTTTGTTGTTTATATAAGTCATTCTTCCTATGAGTCATTATCTTTCAGTTTCTTTAGGTAGCACGATGAGTTCGTAGTTTATTTTGCTCAGCACCGTAGTCTGAACTATGGCGTGACCCAAGAGGTCGCTTTCCTTAGCATACAGCGTAAGCTGCTAGCCAAGCTAAGTCTTAACTGGACACACCACCATCGTATGATCCACCGAGTCGTACCTATCTAGAAAAAATCTAAGTTTTAGTCATTTATATACCCTAGTACTCGAATATTACATTACAAGATTAATAAAGAACAATGGATATAGAAATATAGAACTTAATTTATGAATTCTTCTATTTAAAACGGTATAACAGAGTTTATACTTAAGCACCTACAATTAAACAAAACCCCCATTCATAAATCCTATAATAAGTAACATTCTCTAAAACAAATAAAAAAGACAATAATATTGGAATTCAATTTTAATTAAAGTTAATCTTCGCGTGACTTGCGGAACAGACGCACCCAATGCAATCTAGTGATAATGATCTATACTCGGACTTTTAATTCCATTCCAGATTTGACAATTTCAGTGTTGCAACGTTATGACACGTATTAAATAGTGACGTTGCGAAATTATTCGATATGGATATCGAATATTTCTGAATCGATTCCTCTCGTTTATAAATTTACTCTCGTAAACTAAGTTTATCAAGAAATAAAATATTTCTGAACCGATAATTTAGTTTTGACAATTAATTAACGATCTGAGACTTTTCTTTTGTAATTGTGTGTGAAATTAATAAAAAATGTGATCATGAAGGAACGTGACTAATAAAACAGACATTTTATAAATTGTCGCCGTCATCGCTATCGCTATCGCTGTTATTTTCTGTAAATTATATTATGAATTGTGTCTGTGATTTTTATTGTCAATTAACATACATATATATATAGCTTACTCGTTTTTTCCTCTTCTTTGAAAACATGGGATACACATTTAGACCATTCGGTAGCCGTAATTTTTTGAATGCCTTCCTGAACCTGATTCACTGATTGTTTATCGATTTTTGTGTTCATCACTACACTGTTATATGTGGTATCATTATTTTACAAAATGACAGCGGTCAATGTCAAATCAGGAATCGAATTAAAAGTCTGACTATAGGATAAGCTCTCCCCAACGCTTGCATTCAACGCGCATTCATGTAGGACCCTAAGATACATATAATTACGCAAATGAACAAACAGACAGACATTCCAAGTGGCAATGCAGCGAAACATGTAATGAGTCTGAACATTATCATGCTATCTCTGTCCCTTAAAAGATTCATGTAATGCGATATGTAACAGATGGTAATTTGCTAATTTGAATGCAGCACTGTTACAGTATTATCTTCAAGATCACTTGACTTTCGCCAATTATCATGAGGATTGTAAGGCAAATGAAGATTACTTTTACATCTTAAAAAAAATGATCAAAAGAAAAAATATCTCAAAAGGAATACGACCCCTAAGAAGCTTTGGCCGCCATTTCATCAGCTCCACGAAGTGATTTTAAATCATATTCTCTTCACCTTAAACTAAAGCAGAAAAAAATAGACGCGAGAAAATCAAAATCAAATAAAATACATTTCCACAAATTGCGGAAGTTGTGACGGCGGGCGAGGTCCCTTTATATATTTTTTCTTCTCAATATCCGTCCGCTTTGATGACTGACGGGAAAGATTTTAAATAAAATATGCTATAAACGGCTTCAAATTGAAATTTTCTAAAAGATCTTGATAGTGTTGGGTCTTTTGGGCTTTATGGGCTGACAATGACTCGGCCAACTGTCCGGCAATGTCCGGCCTTATCTATCGCTGACCCAACCCTTTTCACTTGCCACTCTGAGCATTCTATGCCTAGCTACTTACGTTGATGCCCTCATGAAGTCGTGGGGCACGTATGTACTTAAGTGCGATGGTACGTATTTGAAGACAGTTGTGAACATTGGAGGGCAATATCACGAAAAAGGGAACTATGGGAAAATAATTTTAAAAAGTAATATACTGTGCATTCGTTTGCATAAGACTCGTCTCTAGAAATGACTTCTTGAAATAAAGCTAAAGGAGCTCTTCAAACCACTTATTAACTTTAGAACAGAGTACCAATAATATTAATAAAAATGTAGCAACGTATGTAACACTATTCAATAATTGTTGTAATACTGTCCTGTTTAGCTACATTGTTATTGGTGAACATTAAGAGCAAAAAAACTCTCAGTGAATTCGTAGAGGTTCGTAGTGAAAGAATTTTCGATAGTAGTAAAGGTACATGTTGACTAGAAGCACTTGAGATGAGCCAAACTTGTTTCGGAGCGATATTTGCTGGATAAAATCTGTTTGAAGATAAATACGACTACTACAAACGTTGAAATTGACTAAAAAGGGTTCGTAGAGGTTCGTAGTGAAAGAATTTTTGATAAAAAAAAAGAAATACATTCCTCCACCAGTAGCTATCTATTAAAAATTACCATCACAAAAACATAGATCTTGAAAATGTTTCATGATATGTAAATTTCGAGAGCATCGTCGAATTCTAGACAATTTAATAGGTCATAATCATTTTACGAGCCTCAATTACTCGAGGATGACGTAGTTTTGGGTAAACGTTGTGTGAATTAAAATTTTATTGATACTTATGTCGCTGATGCAGATGAAACACCCTGATTCTAATTTGTATCGTTGCTATAAACAGGTTGGTTTGAGTTATTGAAGGGCACATGTGCTTGGATAAGTAATAAGTTTTTTTGGTTGAGAATTTGTATTTTTGATGTTACTCTAACAATTTTATGGTGGCCCAGAGGTTAAGATTCCCGCTTCTCGGGCTAGAAAGCAACGTGGCTCATATTCTTGATCCCGATCTTCAGCTTTGCATAACCAACTTACTGCTAGTCGCTTTGTGGAGCACATCATCAACCTGTAATTGCCCACTCCTGAGCTCCTCTTCTCACACGCAGACGTTTTAAGCATTCATCACCACGCTTGCTTGCGAATTAGCGTTTTTCTATGTGATAGTTCGGCAAACGAGCCAACGGATTACCTGATGGTAAGCACTCAGCGCCGCCCATGGACACCCGCAACGACGCAAGGAGGAGTTACAAGTGCGTTGCCGACCTTTTGGGGATTAGAGATTTGGTGATTTTGGAAATGTGGAGGTATTTGGGGATTGGGAGAATTGGGACTCCGGTAACCTACTCACACGGCAAAACACAACGCTGTTTTCTGTTAGGCCGTCCTATCACTCCGGTCGAGCCGACCCATTCGTACCGAAGCATGGCTCTCCCACACTTAAAATTATTATTTAATTTAAACTTATTATTAGCAAGCATAAATCACCGTCACCGTCTGCCAGTGTTCTCTAAAAATCTTTGTATATATAACTATAACTATACTGTTATTGTCAATTTAAATTGGTTAAACTAACCTCAAAATATCGATTCAGTTCAGACGGCCAATCAGGTTAACAAAGACAGAATAATTAGTTGTCACCGCGACTGTGCCCCAACGGACGGTAAACTTAGAACTCGAGGCAAACTTACCTAATTAGACAAAATACTTTTCAGAGGACTGAGGAACAGAAGTGCCTGGGTAATTGGTTGTTGGAAAAGTACGAAAAACATTAAAGAAAATACCTTTATATACTAAGAAAAAGTTTTATGTTACATATAGGTAGACACCGTTTGCCAGTTATTGTCGCATTTCTTTGATTTTTTTTAAAGTATAAGAGTATGCAAATGAAAAGGGTAACAATATACATACTCTATAGAAAACGTACATTTTGTTGTCCAAGTTTCCTCATGATGTTTTCCTTCACTGTATGTCAGTGGTGTTTAAATAACCATAGAATGTGCTTATAATTCAGAAAAAGGCACCTGGTACCTGTCGGGGTGCGTGCCAGAAGACCTCCCCGTGGTGCACCCTGGGTGCGGGCGACAGTCTCCCTAACGGGATGGTGACAGGGTTGGTTTGACTGTCGCCCGCAGCGAACTTCTGGCCGGGCGGAGAACCCGGTCGGGTTCTAGAGGCGACCGGCTCTATGCTGGCATAGAGTCTACGCCTCCGTGGGGGCGTTCCTCCGCACGACTCTCTGGACCTAGCAGAGAGCGGGGCGGAGAAACAAGGGCGGCGCTCGTTGTGCACTCACCCTGCCAATGAGTAGCATCGGGGCACTAGCTGCGCCCGACTGCACCCGCCGATATCGTAATCCGGGAAGAGATCATGGTCATGTTTTATGACTCGGACCGGGACGAGGGTCTTGGCTTAACCGCCCGGACCGCGAGGAAGATAACCTCTATAAAAAATTCCTCCAATACTAAGTTCTGGTGCGCGGCGAGGGTATGTATGGCTGAGGAGTAGGATCAGTCGTGAGCGCACCCCCAGCTAGGGGACCGGTGGACCCCCTAGTTGGGAGACAAATGCACACTTACCCAGGGACAGGGGGCTCTCCCTGGGCGGACCTTTTATTTCCCCCATACTCGTGGGAATCACATGGAAGACCCAAACAAAAATAAAATACCACCACCAAAAGTGCAGGAGAAGGCAAGCCAGCTTGCAAGTGGTAACGAGAGCCAAGGTGGCACTCGGACCCGTGGGGAGGCGCTGGTCCCGTCCAGCAAGTCCCTTGCAAGGGCACAGGGAAGGAAGGAGTCGGATTCTGAGTCCGACTCATCATTGTCTGGCGTCAGCATTGCGCTGCGCCACAAAAAAGACCGGGGCGTTTTCAAACGTCCCAGGCTGGAGGATGGCCGAGAGGCGACCTCCATCGAGCAGGAGGCCCCAGCCCCCAAAATCCCCACGGCTGCGCGGGGTAGGAGCAAGGGGAAGGGCTCCACAAGAGCGGCTGGGAGCCGCTCTGAGCCGGCAGAGCGGCTGGCAGCGGAGGGGAGCGCCCTGGGAAAGGCTGCCCCCTCGGACTCCTCGGAGATGGAGGTGTCCGGAGGTGAGGATTCTGTAGGCGGCGCTGAGAGCCTCCGCCTCCAGGTTAAGGAAGCACTCCGCATGCTGGCTGGGCAAAAAACCCAGGCTGGCAGGAATGGAGTGCTTAAGCACGCGGAGGCCGCTATAATGTCAGCGGTATCCCAGCAGGGCTCAGCAGAGCGGCAGATGACCGCTCTGCAAAAAGAGATGGCCGGAATGAGGCGCGAGCTGGCCCGATTAGCGGCTGCGAACTCTGCCCTGGAGGCGGAACTTCGTGCAGCAAAGGCGGAACTCGCCGCTGCTCGCGCGGGTCGTCCCCAACCCTCGCAGCCAGTGGAGGCCGACCTTCTTGGCCTCATGCGGCAGGAGATGGCCGCCTTCCAGCAGCGTTTCGACGCTCTGGAGGGTAGGCTCCTCCGACCCCCGCTCGCAACTGGCACTTATGCAGCCGCGGCAGCGAAGACGAAGCAGCCTCCTAGCCGCGGCGCCAGAGCAGACGCCCCGGTGGAGAAAAGGGCGAAAGCACCGAGAGCCCCGCCGCTGACGAGGACGCCTATAGCTCAACCGGCACCGGCTCCTGCTGTGCCTCTGGCACCAAATAGCCGCAAGCGAAGAGGCGCAGCAGCTGAAATTCCAGCCGTTGCAGCCCCAACCCCGCTATCAGAGCTGCGCACCGATGGCGACGGGTGGCAGGTGGCCGGGCAGGCGAGAAGGAGCGCCAAAGAGGCGAGAAAGCGCCGCAAGAAGGAGCAGCGACAGCGGCGGCAGCAGCGACGCAAAGAGAAGCGCGCTGCGGCAATGCTCCTCACCCCTAAATCTTCGGCTGTAGTTATCACGCTACAGCCGGACGCGGCTAAGAAGGGGGTGACATACGGCGACGTCCTCGCCAAATTGAAGGGGACGGTTACTCCCGCGGAGTTCGGGGCCCCTAACGGGTTCGCGGTAAGGGTCACCGCGACTGGAGCCCGTCTTTTGGAGGTCCCCGGCGCGGCCAGCGGCCCATCCGCTGACGCCCTTGCCGAGAGGCTCAGGACGTGCCTTGCGGCGGATGAGGCTCGCGTGTCCAGGCCCACCAAATGCTTGGATCTACGCATCATGGGCCTGGATGACTCCGTGACGGAGAACGAGGTGGCGGCCGCTGTCGCCAGCACGGGGGGGTGCCCTGCTGACCAGGTCAAGGCAGGCACTATCCGCCCGGACAATACGGGGCTGCGGACTGTGGTAGTCAGCTGCCCCGTCACAGCGGCCAAAAAGCTGGCAGAGGGCAAAAGGCTCCTGGTGGGCTGGGTTTCGGCGCAGGTGAAGCTGCTGGAGCCCCGACCTTTGAGGTGCTTCCGCTGCCTCATTGGTCATCATGTGGGTGCCAAATGCACCTCAGAGGTGGACCGCAGCGACCGCTGCTTCCGCTGCGGTCAGCCCGGTCACAGGGCCGGCGCTTGTACCGCCCCGCCGCACTGCGTAGTATGTGCGGCGGCTGGCAAGCCGGCCGATCACCGGGCTGGGGGCAAAACCTGCTCCCCCCCCACCAAGCCCAGGAGCAAAGGTAGGCCCTTAGCCACCTCCACCGCTCCCACCGTCGCTCCCGCTGCCGCCGCAGTCGCCAACACCCCTGCGACTGCTGCTGTCGCCGCTGCCGTCAGAGAGGAGGTCGTGATGGATACCCAATAATGGCTCCATTACGCCTCCTCCAGGCGAACATCAACCACTGCGTCGCTGCTCAGGATCTCCTGCTCCAGAGCATGGTGCAGTGGTCGATCAATGTTGCTGTGGTCTCCGAGCCGTACTTCGTTCCAGCCAGGGAACACTGGGTGTCAGACCTGGACGGCTCGGTGACCATCATCTCGTCGGCCGCCGCCGGTACCCCAACCCCCGAAGGGCCTCAGCGAGGCAGGGGTTGCGTCGCGGCTCGGTTCGGAGAGATCGCCGTGGTGGGCGTGTACTTCTCTCCGAACCGAACTCTCGTCGAGTTCCACAACTCCCTCAGGGAGTTAGTCACCGTCGTCGTCGGGTTCCGTTCCCTCCCCGTGTTGGTCCTCGGGGACTTCAATGCCAAGAATTTGGCTTGGGGTTCCCGGCTCACTGATGTCCGGGGAAGGATGGTCGAAGACTGGGCTCTGGAGACAGGCCTAGTCGTGCTGAACCGGGGTTCTGTCCCCACGTGCGTACGGATGCGGGGCGAGTCAGTGGTGGACATTTCGTTTGCCAGCCCCGCTCTGTCATCGCGCGTTGTTGACTGGCGCGTCATGGAGGAGGTGGAGACGTTTTCGGACCACCGGTATATACGGTTCGACGTCTCCGCCGAGTCCGCAGACCCGCCAGTCAGACAGGCCCCGTGTGGCCCGCGTTGGGCGCTTAGGCAACTGGACCGGGAGCTTTTCCTGGAAGCCGCAGTCGTGCAGGCCTGGGTGATACCACCGGTCAGGCCAGCCGACATTAACGAGGAGGCGAGATGGCTCCAGGACGCCATGTCAAGGATGTGCGACGTGGCGATGCCCCGGATCCGACCGTGCCAACGCAAGCGCCAGGTGTATTGGTGGTCGCAGGAATTGGCAGACCTGCGCGGTGAGTGCACCGCAGCGCGACGCCGATACACCAGGCACCGCAGGCTCCGTCTCCGCCCTCTGGACGCTGAAACCAGAGAGGCGGAGCTATACGAGGAGTACAGGGCGGCGAAGGCCACCCTCAGGGTGGAGATCCGGCGGGCCAAAGATCGGGCCCGCGAGGAGATGTTGGAGACTCTGAACAGAGACCCGTGGGGACGCCCCTACCGGATGGTGCGTGATAAGCTCCGCACCTGGGCGCCCCCACTGACTCAGAGTCTCCGGCCGGAGGTCGTGGACGAAGTGGTTGGGGCGCTATTCCCCCGACCACAGACGGGTTACACGCCTCCGGCTATGCCCCCGCCCCCTGCGGTGCCCAATGCGGGCTACATCGACGACGACGACGAATCCGCTCCGGAAGTGACCGAGGTAGATTTGAGAGTGGCGGTGCGCCGGCTGAGCGGCAAGAATACCGCCCCAGGACCTGACGGGCTGCATGCCAAGGTCTGGGTCCTGGCCTCGGAGGCTCTCAGGCCTCGACTACTTGGTCTGTTCAGCGCATGTTTGGAGAGAGGCCAGTTTCCGCTGTCGTGGAAGACGGGTAAACTGGTCCTCGTGAAGAAGCCGGGGCGTCCTGCGGACTCTCCGTCCGCGTACCGGCCCATTGTGCTGCTCGACGAGGTGGGAAAGCTGTTCGAGAGGATAATCTCAGACCGTCTCGTCGGGCACCTGTCTGGAAGGGGGCCGGATTTAGCGGACGGCCAGTTCGGCTTCCGCAGAGGGCGCTCCACGGTGGACGCCATCATGCGCGTGAGGGACCTCACGACGGGGACAGCATTGGCCGGGAGGCGAGTCGTCGTGGCGGTGTCTCTGGACATCGCCAACGCCTTTAACTCGCTGCCCTGGAGCTGCATTTTGGAGGCACTCCGGTATCACCGGGTGCCTGCCTATCTCCGTCGTGTAGTCGAGGCTTACTTGACGGACAGATGCGTCATCTACCCCGGTCACCGGGGCGTGTGGAATCGGCGAGAGGTGTCGCGCGGTGTCCCACAGGGATCGGTCCTGGGACCTCTCCTGTGGAACATCGGGTACGATTGGGTGCTACGCACCGACCTCCCGAGCGGCGTCAGCATTGTCTGCTATGCTGACGACACGCTGGTGCTGGCGAACGGGAGGTCGCATCAGGCGGCGGCCGACCTGATGTCACAAGCGGTTGCGACAGTCGTTGCAAGGATCCGGCAGTTGGGACTCGAGGTGGCGCTCCACAAGTCCGAGGCCATGTGCTTCTATGGCCGTCGGAGCGCGCCACCTCCAGGTGGGTCCCAAGTAACGGCAGGAGGAGTTACCATCGGCGTCGAGTCGGCGATGAAGTACCTGGGTCTCGTCCTCGACAGCCGATGGAACTTCACGGAGCATTTTCGTCGTTTGGCCCCTAAGTTGGAACGGTCTGGGGCCTCGCTGAAGCGGCTCCTTCCCAACCTCGGGGGGCCAAACGCCTCCTGCCGGAGGTTGTATATGGGGATTGTGCGATCCATGGCCCTCTACGGTGCCCCTGTGTGGGCGCCGGACTTGAAGCGGCGGCCGGCTCGTACGCTGGTCGCGTCCCAGAGGGTCATGGCTATACGAGTAATCCGCGGGTATCGCACGATCTCCGGGGAGGCGGCGAACCTCCTTGCCGGATCACCGCCGTGGGATCTAGAAGCGAAGGCGCTCGCGCGCGTCTACAGTTTGCGCGCAGACGCGCGTCGCCGGGGCGAAGATCCTCTGCCGCGCCAAATAAGTGCGTGGCGGAATGAGCTCCGGCGAGATCTCACGGCAGAGTGGAGACAACGACTGTCGCAACCGAGGGCCGGGCACGCTACCATAGCAGCGGTAAGACCCCTCTTTGAGGAGTGGCTTGAGAGACGCCACGGCGTCCTCACCTTCCGTCTGACGCAGGTGCTTACCGGGCACGGCAGCTTCGGTAGGTTCCTGTTTCGGATTCAGCGGGAGGAAACGCCTGAGTGTCGTCATTGTGAGGACCACCTAGAGGATACGGTGGAGCATACGGTAGCGGTATGCCCTGCCTGGGCTGAGCACCGCCGTATCCTCAGGGAAGTGATCGGCGACGGCGACCTCTCGCGCCCGGCCTTAGTCGAGGCCATGGTGCGGAGTGAGAGGAACTGGGACGCCGTCTCCTCCTTTTGTGAAGCAGTCATGCTCGCAAAGAGAGAGGCGGCCCGCGTGAGGGAGCAATCCTCCTCCTCACGCCCCAGCAGCCGCAACTGGCGACACTACGGGCGTCGGGGATCGAGGGACGATCTCCGGCCACCGTAAGTACGGGCCTGCGGTCGGCGAGTAAGGGCAGCTCGCCGCCCGACCAGAACCAGGCCCGAGCGTACGGCGCGTAGCGTTCCGCGCGCGCCTCAAAGAGCCAATAGACCACCACAGACGGGGCCCTAAAGGGCTGATGTTCAGCCGGGGTTGCGGGGTAAGCGCAATA